TTTGACTTACTTATTATTGACTATTTATTATTGTAATAAATTGTAAGTAATTAACATCTTTTATGATATTATATGACTTTGTATGTATTTATATATTCATCGGGACTTTTTTTTCCTAGTGTGGGACTTTTTTTACCGGGACTTTTTTACCGGGACTTTTTTTTCCGCGATTCATAAAAAATGTAAATAAAATAATGCAAATAATACTGCAAATTAAAAACAATTTAGTACAACGTAATTATTAAACAATTATATTTTTATTTTAAACAAAACTATTAGTTTGCAGTTATGCATACCTGCTCATCTTTTAGTTAAATTTTTATGATATATGTAATTATATTTTATATTTATATTCTTAAACAGCTAAACCTAATGTATGCAAATTTGTGAATGAATAAAAATAAAATAATGAAATCCAACCGAAAAAATCATATAATAATAATGTTAACAATTTTTCATAATTTATTGTTAAATGTTTAATAAATTCTATTAGAATATTTACCTTGTTTTATTTCAGACTTAACCGCTTCAAGGCGTAAATTATAGGTATAGCTCCAGCCTCTAACGTTACGTATAGTAAAATCATAGTCACTCAGTCTCAGACTTATCCGTAATCGAATGTCAATTGTAATATAACCGAATATAATAATTAATAATAAAAACATAGACCTAGTCATAAAGTTGTGGATCGGGGACTGTATAAGGAGCTGTATTTACCATTTCACATTCACATATTAAACACTAAACACATAACAGTCGTTCTATTTGTATTATTGTTGGCTACAGGAAACGCATTGATATTTCCTGTGGCTTATTGTAACGCTTGTAGAAATATATACATTGATATAAATAAAATATATTACTTTACGATATCTTTAGGTACCTACCAGTTATCATCGATAGTTTTGAATGAAAATTCATTTCAGTAGTAAATTTAAGTGTTACATGTATATTTGGTATAATATAGTATTAATCAACTCGCATCTAACAACAGATATAAATATATTGAAATATTTTGATTTAGATTTTCAAATAAAAAATTTAATGATATCGAATGTTGAGCCCACCTACTACCTAGTCAGGATTTCAGCCCGGCAGCGATATTTTACATGCATTTTAAGCACAAAGTTGGACGAAACTACATATTAAAACCAAGAAACCTGTTTTTTTAGGTTTTGCTAATTCAAAAATATTATTCGTTGGTGTGTAAATATATGAAACTTTTAGTGTATATTAATATTATTAAATTGTATACACACAATGACATTTCAAATGTATTTTTTTTGTAAAAATGATTTAGCCCACTATAAGTAGTATTTATTTATTTATTTATATGTTTACTTAGTATCTATTACTAATACAGTAATACCTAATAGTAAAATAAATTACTTTAATCACAAAAATATCATAAAATATACCTATTTAGTGGCTAGTAATATTATAGGTACACTGACAGACCTTTTTCGCTCAAATTATGAAAAGCGAATCTAACGATTTTATATCATTGAATTAAAATTTAACAAATCCATTACAGTGGCTCTTTAGACAGCAGACACCTAATGTAAAGTAGATTGTGTATTTTAATGTTATGTAATTTTAATATAATTCTATGAATTATTTTTATATTTAAATTTGTATAGTTTTTATAAATCTATACGGCATTATACTATTTTTGTGTATACGGTATTGGTATGCATTTTGAGCGGTACCAATTGAGTCATTTTTGGTCCTTACTGTAAATTGTAATATTCTAGTAGTGAAATAAATTACAAGCAATATCAAAAAAGTAAAAACATATCATTCAATAATATATTCTCAGTTAGGCTTTAAGCGTTAAGGTTTAATATAGGAAGGCAGATCGTCTTGCTCAGAATTTTTTTTTATGAGCAATGATTTATTACTCAATGGTGAAGACACCTGCTGTACCTACTGGTTATCTACTTTCCCCCTTTTTTTATTGTTCTTACAAGAAAAACTTTTGTGGAACCTTGTATTGTATTTTTAAATTTTAGGTATGAAAATTAGGTTGCATCCAAAAACTGCACAGTTTTGATTTTGACCCTTAAAAGGTCGATCGACAAAAAACTCACAGCTTATCGGTCGTTGTATAACAAATTACCTCACATTTTTTAACGTAAAAATCTTGAACGTTAATATATTGAACGGTAAAATCTTGAACATAAATTTATGTCAATATCTTGAACATTCAAAACCTTGAACGTCACAACTTTGAATTTCAAAATCTTGAACACAAAAATTATTTCCGTCAAAACCTTGAATCCTAGATCCGCTACTATGTATGAATATAGCCAATATAGTTAAGAAGTACCTATGAGCTCTTATTTTAATGTACCAATGTAAAGGTTACCTACTATAAAAAATATATAGCCAGTCAGCGTCTGCACTCTGCTGCACTACAGTGTGAATAGTTCACTTATAAACACGATAATATAGAGTGTTTTGTTTATAATTCCATGAATAATGTTTTTACCAATTGTATTTTTATTACCTTATTAAAATAATGTACAGATAAATATTGCCACAAAATAGTTGTTTCTACTAATTTCGCACTTTAAAATGTTTGAATGTTATCGTAAATTATTGATAATTATTTACAAATTTCTAAGCACAATTTATAATACCTACGTTATATTATTGTATTACTTCGTATTTACTTGTACCAGTTGTACCTAAATGACGAATTGAAACGGGTAGTTATTAAATATCAACCATTTGATCTTCCTTATCTACTTAAACATTTCTTATTAAGGTAGTATAATTTGTAATATTTTAATATTAAAATCCAACAATTAATAAATTAAAACCATTAAATTTATCTGAACTAACTTTGATGCATTCATGTATAAATAAATGACACAATATTATATACTGAATTTGTTTTGGAAATGGATATATAATTATATAATTTAACTTCATTAACCATTTCAAATTCTTAACAAGTAATATTTTAACATTTTATAATTTAAAAGATTTTAATCATACTCATCGTAATATAGGTAGGTAGGTTATATTTTTTTTAATTCTACAAAATAATAACATAGCCGTAATAAAATAAAAAATGTCAATCTCATTAATTGTACTACTTTCTTATGTAAGTACACTCAATTATTTTTTTATTTAAAAGCAACAATCTGTTTTTTTTAAGGGTCCATACTAATTTAATGAAATAATGAATATATTTTATATTTTATAGTATACCTATTAAAGTTATATTACAATATTCTAATTATATAATATTGTTGTATAAATTATAAAATAATTTGATATAAATTTATTTTATATCAAATATTATAATATCATAATATTTTATTTATAATATGTGTACACAGACTGTACAGTACCATTATTGGAGCAATGTGTGACAGCATATTCTTAAAGAGTCCAATAGTAGTGATATCTAAAAACAAATTAAAATTTATCAAACAATTATTAGATCCCTAAATAATTAAATGCCTGGTATATTTTATATTTACTAAAAAAATTCAAATATAACAAATAAAAAAATGATTTATATATTTATTGAAAATAAAACCCACTGGGTACAGTCTGGACATCCCCCCAAATTATTAAGGGTCGATATTAATGTTATTTGAAGTATCTATGTGGGTATAATTGTATATAAATGTGATATTGGTAGTACTACCTAATACCAATTAAATACCAATTGTATTGTTTTAATAAGGCATACTCTTTTTATTTAAATAAATTATTATTATTATCTATATAATATATAATTATTATGACCAAATTCTTAAAAATGCTGTAAATTGCTGGTTACATAATGGACAGCGTTGCGGGTCTTATAATATTAGGCAATCACCACACACAGCTATGTGTTCACATGGTATGAATTCATGAGTTTTCTCTGAAACAGAGCAAACTACACACATTCGATCAGAGTTGGTAATTGGAGGAAAAATAGATGGAACCTGAACAAATGGTAAGTTTTCTATTTCCAACATTCTTATTCTATGGTCAGTTTCCATAATCCGTATCATATCAGGATCTAATTCCTCTTCAATAATAAAATCTTCTTCATTCCCTGTAATGTAAAATAATTATTTGGGTTTTGTCATGTGTAAGAATTTTATATAAATATAAAATATTAGTTATTATTTATCGGAACACATGGTAGTGCGGCAGGCAAGTCCTATCAATACCAGTCTCCAGTGTATCTTTTCACAAATGGATTCAGCCGGTTATTCTAACTCTTAGAAATCAGTTTTCTCTTGGGACGGACTTTTGAAATTTGAAACATAGATTAAGCTTAAGTAACTTAAGACATTGTACTCATTTGAGCCCATAATACTAAACCTTTTGGGGAGCACTTCAAAGTTTGAATTTTTGTTACTAACTGACTGGCCAATCATATGTTTCAAAGAAAAATAACCTGTAGATGATTGAAATCTATTTCAGTTGTTGACAACACCAAAGAGACAAAATAAGAATAAACTGGCCAAGCGATATTTCTGTATTAAGGTTATTGATTAAAGAAAGATTAAACTTGGCTACAATGTAGATATCAATACTTGGATAGGCAGAATGTTTTTGAAGTGGACTATGCCCTTTTTTCCACAGTTAGGTTTTTGTTGCATTACTATTAACAAAATAACCTACAACCATTGTCCTGTTGGTTGTCACTTTCATTTTGTTGAATGTTTACCATTTGATAATCTAGAATTGATTCGAGGTTATTTACAACAAGCAAGCAATTTTTTTTCAGGTAAGTAAACTATGTATTAAAATTGTTATAATACTTCAATAACTTAATATAAAACAATATACTATGTAAATACCTATATTTTCCAACAGAGGGCCATTATCTACATTTGCTGCCTGAAAATAGTCTTCAATTCCAAGATCATTTGGTTCATTAACTTTCAGGATATTGTCAAATTCATGGTCACCATCATCTATTGTCTCTAATTCATCGGTTTCATCGTCACTTACTGGTCTATTGTAGCTTTCATTATCGCTCTCAATTAATACATCTTCTGGTTCTTGATTGTTATCTATAATTTATTGGTGATTTTGAATTTGTATACACAGTTGTAACGGGAATACCTGACAAATGAAATAACTTTTGTTCTAATCAATATTTTTTATATAATTTACTGACGCCTGAATATTGAAAAATTTTTAAATCTGATAAATTTTTTTTTGAAAAATTTAAAATAGAAAAATTTGTAGTAAAAGTTGGTCATATTGTTTATTTTTAAAAAATAATGTTAAATCTTATTACGTTTATTGGAAAGTTTATCCAGTCATCAAGAACTTTTAAATTCAAAAAGTATAAACTTTTAAAAAATATTACCTGATTTATAAATTGGCTATTTATAATTTTTCAAAAAATATGTATATAAGATTTAAATTTTTTTATTTTTTATTTAAAATAAAAATAAATGTTATACTATATATTATTATGTATGAAAGAGTCTGTAAAAATTATCAATTGGAACAAAAGTTATTTTATTTGTCAGGTCTTCCTATTACACAGTGTATATTGTCTTTTGCATAATATGGTGGATTACCTTCTTGTTCTTGAATTCCATAGTCTTCTTCATTTTCATTGTCATATGTTATGTTAAGTGAACAATTTCTTAATCGTTCTTCATATGCCACGGAATACGTACAACGTTTCAAAAATTCTTCTATGTTAATGAGACCAAGATGTAGTTGTTGAGTAGCATATTTTATTTTTACACTATTAGCAATCAATTTTCCTCTAGTAATCCTTGTGGGATTCAGCCCATTCGATAGTTGGTTTACTACGTTTGATGTACCTTGCATTAAATTACAAAACTTATCTATAACAAAATAAATCAAATAAGGTCATGTTAGTAACAATTAAAAGCAAATACTCTGCTTATATATTATTATGTTTTTGTATTACTAAAACAATATATATATATTTTTTTATACTTTCTTTTATTCTTCAAGAAGATATAGGCTTCACCGAGTACAGTACCTATGAGGATTGAGGGTGTATATTATATTATCATTGTATGTGTAAGTTTAGTCTGTGAAAATTAATAAAAGTATATTATAGTTATAAATGTGTGTGACATATATTACAAAGGTAAAAAAACATATATACTTAAAAGAAAGTTAAATGAACTAATGTAAGTATGTTATTTTTTATTCACAAATAAATTATCATGTCATTTTTACTTTGTATTTTCATCTATAAATTTATTTACTTGAATATTTTTATTTTTTATTTTTTATTTAAATTTTTTATTTAAATTTTCTATTGTAACTTCTTTTGCCTCACAACAAACAATGCTTATTGGGATCAAAATTAATTAAAAAGCAGTTATTTTATTCAACTGTATAATTGTAAATGTTTATTTGATTGAAAAAAAAAAGTAAAATTAAAATAGATACTGATTAAGAAATGTCCACAGATTTGGGTGTGCCACTCCAAAGGAATATCTGATATCTCAACTTATTGTGAAATGATTCTAGATGGTTGTTTGTTCTCCCGGGTCGATTATGAACAGATAATACATCACATCCTACTTTCGCATTCCAAAACCTATTAAAATGTATGTATCAGCATAATAATTTAAACAAATAATTTTTCCTAATCTAACCTTTCATAATAATCAAATAGTAGGTCCACATTAATATCATTTCTTCGTGCATATCTCTTTACAGATCTTAGGCCTTGATTGATTTTATCTCCAGGTAACAAGGGTAGCACCATAATGCGTCTTAATGTATTAAGAGCATGTCGATTTTCATTCGCCAAATTTAATAACCCAAGACTTTTCATCTTCAACTTTTCACCTAGGTACTAAAGAACTATTAGGAGAACACTACACCCGCATGCATTGTTTTACAAAAGCATAACATAATATCAAATTGAATTCTGAATAATCTATTTAACTCTGTAATGTGAATTAACCTATTATCAAATTTAAAAGTAAGAACATTATCTTGTGAATATCATAGGTTTCATTTTATATTTTAATTTAAAAGTGAGTTATGAGTATCTTAAATTTAAAATTGTTTGTACGTCTTGCAATACTTACTAATAAATTGCTTCAAAATTAAAATATACAAAAACCTAAGAGATTCACTAGATAATATTCTTACCTTTAAATTTGATAATAGGTTAATTTTCTCCAATATGAAAACTAACAGAGTTAAATGAATTATTCAGAATGTACAATTTGCCATGTCATGCATTTGTAAGTAGGAGACAACAAATGCTGGTGTAAATGGTGTAATGTCCTCAATAATTGTAAATAGTAAATATAATGTTAGATAATTGTATTTACTTGGTTGTGATGAAACCAGCAACCAATCCGTCTCGCAGAAGGAAAGTTTTCTTGCAATGTTTTACTCAATCCAGTTTCAAAATCAGTTAGTATTTTACGGGGGTTAAAGTTTGGTAGAGGTTGAGTTTTAATGTAACTTAACACAGCTTGGTAACTACATTTCTTCTTAGGACTTAGACTCCATCAAAGCATAAACTAGTGGTAAACTCTATAAAAAACAAATAATTTAACAACATAGTGTAAGTAGGTATTTAATTACATATTGATAGTTTATACTTATACAATAAATTAAGTAGGTAATAACTTACATGATTTTCTATTATACCGTGTAATGTCAAAAGTTGGTAACATTTAGGCTTTGAAGGAACTATTCTAAAAGTGGCATCAGCATGTAATTCTCGCTTACACATAGTAAGAGCATTAGTTATCAGTAAGGCTGGGATTTCGATGCATTTTGCATTGTTTTTCAAAGCTTACTGTGCAATGCTCGTCTTGTCACAAATATGTTTTATGTACATTTGAATGAGAATAAAATAGTTTATTTTGCATTTTTTTGCATTTTTTAATTTTTAGGTCATTTTCTTAATTTTTTAGGGAATTTTTACTCCCTGAAGATTTTTAGTGGGGGAGTAATAATTATCGGGAGTAAATATTTCCTATACTATCAGGCGATTTTTACACCCTGGTAATTCTTACTGGGGGAGTAATAATTATCGGGAGTTAATATTTCCTATACTAACAGGTGATTTTTACTCCCTGACTCCAGTCTTAAAAATGTATTAGTATTATTACAAACAATAAACTGATAAAATAAATTTAAAAAAAAAACACAATTTGATAAAAGTATAAAATGAATAGTAGATTACTAGACTACTTGTCAAATACCTATAAAATATTATCACGAACGATCATATTAAATAATATTTTTTTTTTTTTTAGAACTTTTAGCTTAAAACTATTACAGTTCAACGATTACAACATTAAATAAAATATGAGTTATATAGATAATAACAAAGTATGTGGATAGTAATAACATAATACGAATAAAATAAAGTTAATATACCAATTAATAGATATTGGGAGTAAGTAGATAACATAATAGTTTAAGATTATACGTATAACAATATAACATGACAACAATATAAAATCATAGGAGGTTATTAGTTTGCAAAACAGACAGTGTTATGTAATAAAATTATACAGTGTGATTAAATAATAAAGGTAATAGAGAGATAAGTATTAGATATATTTAAAATGAAAAATTTAGCTAAGGAGAGAGCTGTTTATGAACAGCCTCGGTAAGGAGGGAAATATTAGTGGGCTAATTAAGGAATTAAAATTAGATATAAATTGCGAAAGAATAGTAGCGAAGGCTTCAATGGAGGAATTATCGATTTTGACTGCTTCAGCAAAAGATTTTGTATGAGGCTGCCGAGCGTGATCTTCACAAACCACATCTGGCGATTTATAAGTTGACGTATTTGTGACAATATTTCGATTGAGTACCGGAAGACGGATAGATTTAGATAATTGAGATTTGCTGCGGTTATCATTTAGTTTTTTAAAAACTGGACATCCTCTATAGGAGGCTGTGTGTGGTCCCAAACAAAGTGCACACTTGGCCGGTTCTGAAGGTGGTTTGGATTTTATTACTATTAATTATTAACATTATATTATAATATATAGGTATATTATAGTTTTTACTTTAGATCTTCTACAGAAGTAACAACACTCGTAACAACATAAAAATGGTTACTATTTGAATTAATTAAGTATATACATTTTTCATGTATATTAAATATTTCTGGAATTTTACCAGATTTATGGAATACTTGCCAATCTGGTTTGTTGGAAAAAATATATACCATTATAGTTGTGTTCATTAACAGAGCTGCAGCAAATAGCTCAACTTCAGTAGCCCAAATTGCTGAAATATAGGTAATTATTTACTATAGGTACTTTTATAATATAATTTATTTCATTTTTATGAATAATTAATAAATCATAATTTAAATTTGCTATAAAATGTATTGAAGTTTGTAGTGGAGTGAAATATAAAACCAGTTGTAATACAAGTAAATAAAATTATTGCAAATATTTATCTATCCATTTATTAATCATTCAAGAACATTAAATTGTATTATTTGTATTTACCATTCTTTCCAATAGGGTTGCTTAATGCTTATTAAATAGTCTTCCATCTGAGTTTGGCCACCAATAAATTTAATTAGCTTATCATAATTTCTTACAAACTATCAAAAAGAAACAATTTAAAAATATAAATTATGCCACCAATGAAATTGTATAATAATTATTGATTATAAATACCTTTTTCAGCTCTTTCCTAATTATGGTATGAGAATCTTCATCACCTGTAATCCACCACGATAAGGCTCTATAAAAGCAATTACCGTCACCAATTATATCTATTGTCGTTGACGGCTTATTCAAGACTTTAGGCACTGAAGATAGTCTATGGAAATGCTTAATCATGAAATTGAAGTATCTACATTGCATCTTTTGCCACACGTACAAAAATGGATTATAATATCTTGAAACAATATTTTGATGTACATTTCTTGGAATTTCTACAATATCATCGTCAACTTGTATATCTATATCTTTATCAAAATAATGTTTTAAATTTGACAAGTTTTGCCTTGTTTTCATAACTTTGCCTTTATACGTCAGAACACAGGTTTTATTTGAATTTATAGAATCAATAATATAATAACCAATTTTTGGTTTCCAGGGAAGTGAACTCCAACCTCCTTTACGGTCATCTCTCTTGAGGTTTCTAAGTAAAACCTTGTCATTTACATTAAAAACACTATCAGTTTTATGGCGTTTGTTGTATGAAACTCGTTGCCGTACTTGAGCATTTTCGATGTTTGTGTGGACTTTATCTTCCATTATACTCCTCATATTTAACATTTTTTCGAATGTTTTATTAAAAGCAACTTTATCAAATACGTCATCATCGGATATGATATTAAGATCACCAGATATTGTCGTGCCTTCTTCGATTGATTTTAAATTACAAATATCAACAGGCAGTATGGGTTCTCTTTGATATAAGACTTGGAAAGGAGAAAAATTTGTCGAAGCATGTTGAGTCGTACGATGTGCAAATAGTACACATTGAAAAATATAAGGCCACTTATTACTATTATCTTGCAGAACTTTGAGGAATGTTCGCCGCGATTTAAAATCGGGTCCGCGTGCGAACTATTCGCCTAGTGTGTAACCAGCTTAAAGCTTTAGGTAAAAAAAACCATGTTTTTGCGTTCGATTTTTTTTTCTTTGTAGAATGATGGCCTCCGAATAATAGGTAGGCACGTCATGTCTTTTATCCAACAGTATTAATCTTACAGTAATGAATAATATCAAATTAATAAACAAATGTAATTTTTACTTACCTCAGGTAGTTGTGTTTAAAATAAACTATAAACTCCTTTGCTATTGTCAAACAATAAAAATGAATACACGTTACAATCATTCGGTTCTAGACGTGACGGTAAAATGACGAAACTCTCTCAGTCCAATTATAAATTAATATTAGTATTAATCATAAACTATTGAGAGATAATTTTATTATTAGCTAATAATAACTATTTATATATATATAATATATATTATGTCATTATTTTGTATACAAGGTGTATCATCCTAAATTCCGGAATTCCGAAAGGCTGCTATTGCCATAGCCTGTTTTCCCAATTAAGTCCGTAAAATACGATCAAAATTACACACCACATAATATCACAACAGCAATAACTGGTCTTATACACGTAATCACCTTTATTAGTTATTGTTTTATTTGTGTATGTATTGAATATCAAATCTTGTACTCTTGTGAGTCGTATGTTAGATAGGTATAAGTATGATACATTTATTCAGATAAAGAAACACGTCTTTTTTTGTTTTAACGAAATTACACTCCATATATTTTTTGTATAGCAAAAAATTATACAATAAAATAAAGTCGTTAATATGTAATGATACAATTTAACTTAATTTTTACCAACCAAAAACTAAATTGTAGACTATAGTGTTTATACTTTATACAGTATTTCCATTTTAGTTATAGATTCGAATGATTTACATTTTTTACAATAAACAATTCACGGTAAATATTTTTTGACATGAAAACGAAATAGCTAAAATAAAATAAACTTATTAACTTAACTTAAACTTTTTAACTCGTTAATGCCAGCCTTGCATTTATGCACTCAAAATTGGCAATATATGCGTTGCAATAATATGCCTTAAAGAGTTTTAAAAAATATGCATTTATATGCACTAAATATCTAAAATTATGCACTTAAAAAATATTTACTTAAAAAAAATCATAAACAATTTTTGAAATAACACGAATTATCAATTTATTTTTTTAGTTATATTTAATTTTTTATGTCACAATTAAAAAAAAATAGATTTTAAATTCTATTCTTGAGTCTTCATGAACTGCGTATCGTACTAATGTACGTCTTTGTCAGTAGGTAATTTATTTTACATCTGAAATTTTCGATAAACGATCGCCTTTTTTTTGGTCAAATGTTGATTCTTTACAAAAAAAAAAATGCATATTGATATAATAATATGAAAAGGAATATCAAAATCATGTATAGTATGCCCGAAAAAATAGAAATATGCCAAATAGCCAAAAAACCTCTAAATATGCAAAAACATGCAAAATAATAAGACTTCACATATTTAACCGTGGTACCTTGAAATGGATTTCTATGTCATCTTCTAGCATTAAATACAACTTAGCAAGATATATGTGCAAATGCGTGAATTTACGAGCTATAATGCTATAATGCTCATAGCCATTGTAAACGGCAACTCGTTCGAGCACAAAATTGTGAACAATGAAAACCAGGTTGTAGTCACAGTTTTGGGTGTCTTAGGTTGAGCCCTCTCCAACACGAGACTTGCTGGTCCATTTCCTCAAAAAATGAGATACCGTTTTCCACCTCAATCCATTTTCCTTCGAAAAAAGGTTAGCTTCCATTTTCTTCCAAATTTTTTTTTGGGCTAAAATTGTTTTCATTTTATTCCAAGTATCAAAATA